GGGGGCTGTGGCCCTGGGCAGCCCCCCTCGCCCAGCTCTGCGCCTCAGCCTGGGGAAACCTCCGTTCCGGCTTCCTCCCCTCGCGCAAAACCAGCACCGGCACCAGGTCCCCAGGGCGCTGGTGGCCACAGGGGCTCTAGCAGGGGCAGCAGTGACCGGTGAATGTCTCAGCACCCTGGGACGGGGGCCACGGGCAGTCCCTCGCAGTGGTGAGGCCACCGCTCTCCCCTGTGCTCCGTAACCGTTCAGTTAGAGCTGTGTTTTTTATCACTGTAATTACACCAATGAGAAGCTTTTGCAAGTGTCGTCTCCTGTACAGATCCCAGCCAATGCGCCGTTCAGGGCCTGTTTTCGTGGGGAAGCAGGAGGAGGAGGTAATGGCACATGTGTTTCTCTCCCCCTCGTCTTCCAGGGGAAGGATGTCCCCAAAAGGATGACTGTTCCCGGAGAGCTGGGCCGGGATAATGTGCTGCTCTATCTGCTGTGGTGACTTGGAGAGGCTGCAGCAGCCACCACCCCTGGGGTGCTCGTCCCAGAGAGGGGCTGAAACAGGCCTGGGAAGCAGCCTCCAACCTGCTGCTCAGGAGCCCCAAGCTCGGGGCCGGAGTCCTGCCCTGCCACACGAGCAGACACCCCGTGAGGCTCCTGTGCACCCCAGAGTCTGAGCTCACCTCGTCCACCACCAGGTTGTAGTCGCTCTTGTCCCCATCACTGTCCTGCAAGGAAGAGGAGACCCAAAGGCTCCCTCAGGAGAAGGGGAAGTTGGGAAAGCCCTGGGCTCTGCTCCCTAGCCGTGGCAGCACCAAGACCCTTTCCCCACAGTGTTGGATCATGGGGACAGAGATCCTGCCCCGAGAGGCAGTCGCTGGCTGCATGGGCCTCTCGGGGTGGAGGCATCAGGTTTCTTTGTCCTGCAGGATTTCTGCCCTTTCCCGCTCCGCAGGAGAGCCACAGGGAGCTGCTCCATTCAGGCAGCAGTGCCAGCTACAAGGCACCAAGGGGAATGCTCCCCACTTCTGCCCTTCACCCCAGAGACCCTCGGCCACCTCCAGGCCCTTCCCGACGCCCAGGCCACACTCTGCCACTCCACTCACGTCAGGCCCAGGTAAGTCCTTCTCCTCCCGCTTCCGCTTCATCCCGGTGCTGCCCGTGCGCTCCTCGTCCGGCAGGCTCTCCAGAGGGGAGGCAGAAATGCTCTGGGATGGAGCGGGGAGAGGAATGCAATGAGCTGGAGGACAGAGCGGCTGGGTGGTAACGCGCTGTAGACTGTGTTTCCTCCCGGGGCCACCGTCTGCTTTCCAGTATCCCAACAGCTTTTGCACAGCCCGTGCAGCTGCCACGGCAGCAGGACCCTTCCACAGCCAAGGGAGGTCCGAGCAAAAATGGGGCATTTCTGACCCCGTGCAGACACTGCTCAGTCCTCCCTTGGGAGCCTTGGCTACAAGTCCTCCCAGATGCCCCTTCCCTGGGCAGAGATGGGGTTAGTCCAGTGGTCGGGGGCAGGAGTCTCCAGGCTCCTGGGTCTTGGTCCATGTTCGGCCCCAATGGGGCAGGAAGGAGGACAGGGCTGGTGTCCAAGGGGCGGCCCATGCACCAACCCAGGGCAGGGAAGAGGGAGCTGACAGAGCAGTGCCAGGACTCCAAACAGCACCCAAGGCCGTGCGTGCCTGGCCCCACTGCAGCCAAGGAGTGGGAAAGGTGGCTGCCATCCCAGCAGGGGGAAAATCCCCACTCTCTGCTAGGAAGCAGCACTTGAGAGGGACAACAGCGTGCCCTGAGTTGTTTGCGCACAAAAAAACAGCACTGAGCAAGGCATCTGCCTGGCCCCTGGGCTGGAAAGCAGATCCGCCGCTTGGGGAGATACTCAGGATGGCGGGAGTGGAAAATCCCCACTGGAGTGTGATGTTTGCTTTGCCTTAACCCTGGCACTGCGGGCGTCCGCGGGATTCAGAGAGCAGGATGGGGCTGAGCGGGATAAAGGCCCCTTCCCCTTCCTGGCCTGCAGCCCCAGCGAGCTCCATCCTGCTTCCCTTGTGGGTGGATTGTGCCGGAGCCGCGGCGGGGGGGTCTTAAATCCCTTCCTCCTGCTCCGCGGCTGCTTCCTGGGA